TTGCATGTGTTCTTAATTTTTACTTTATTCGTTATATATAATCTCTTGTTATATATAATAAATAAAGTAAAAATTTATAATATTATATTGTTTGCGTTTTAAAAAATCAGCAATATTTTAAATAATAAAAATTTTAGGAATTTATTAAAAATATTTTTTTTTTAAATCTACAGCAAAATATAAAATGCATCAAAACAAAATAAATCTATTTATCCGCCTTTTAAACAAAAAAGTAACCTTTGAAATCATTAACTCCCAACTTAACTACAATATAAAAGAATTATGTGATAATCATAAACTGAATATGAAAACCTTAATGCTGGTTAAAAAAGTAAAACTTAACGTCTTAGAGGATGTAATTCCTGAAGCTACTCTTCATATTTTGGTACACGCGGTTCAATGTTGGAATGTAAAAGAACAGCGAACAATTTTTAAAAAGACACTTGAAGAAAACATTCCTAAACAATACTTTTTTTATCTCTTTTTCTCAGTTTGTGTTTTTACCTTGTAAATTTATTTTACAGAGGGCGATTAATAAAATATTAATAATAATAATAATAAAATGCTAAGTTTTAACTTGCCGAATTATTTTGGTATTTTGGCTAGTTGTAGAGAGCGACTGAAGTTTTCTAAAATGTTTAACTATCAATTTTTTTATTAAATAGAGTAAAATACACATAAAAAATCGAGCCAAAAATTCAATCTGATAAGACAAAAAGCAAGCCAGAGTGAACAATGGGGAGAAAGTTCACATATGCAAAGAACATCCAGATAGAAGCAGTAAAATATTGTCTCGACCATAACGTGCGAGGCTATAAAGCTTTGAAAACTAGATTGTATCCACTAGTCAAAAATAGAGGATCAATTAAAGAAGATTAGACAGAAAAATAAAAAATAGTATGCAATTATATTTTAAACAATCCAAATATGACTGAATTTGATGTAAAGATAGCGTTGATTTTTCTCAGGTCAGGAATGTCGTTATTGTTCTATTTTTACGCTAGAAGAGGAGGGGAGTCAGTAATAAAATATGTCAAGAACAGGAATAGAAGTCTACAAGGTATCAACAAGACAGAGTTGACCAAACTCCATGACATATTAATGATAATGAACTACATGAATAGATGATGCAAAGGAGGTCGGAAGTTTGTTAAGTTATCTCCTAATACAAAGTCAGCTTTAGCAAACAGAAAGTAAGTTCACTGATTTTATTGTTAATGTTTACTAAATAGAATAAAGTTTACACAATCTTAACATAACATAACTATGTTATGTTAAGATTACGCAGAGCCGTCCCTAAGAAATTTTAAAGGGAGAGGGGGTGCCGTGTCTGTTTTTTGCCGACTGGAACCAAAAAAATTAGTTGTCCCACTAACTTATCTAAAAAAAAAAAAAGGTCCACGTTTGCCGACTGCCAACTATAAATCCAACTTTGCCGACTCCAGTATCCAATTTGTTGACTAATAAAATTCGTAGGGGGGGCCATAAATCCCTACGCCCCCCTCGGGACGGCCCTGAGATAGTGTTAACGTAACTTAAGATTTTTACTCTTATTTTCTTAACCTTATTATAGTATATTATTATTATATTATATACATATATATATATATATATATATATATATATATATATATATATATATATATATATATATATATATATATATATATATATATATATATACATATATATATATATATATATATATATATATATATATATATATATATATATATATATATATATATATATATATATATGTGTGTGTGTGTGTGTGTGTGTGTGTGTGTGTGTGTGTGTGTGTGTGTGTGTGTGTGTGTGTGTTTTTAGTAATTTTAATTCTTTGGTAGTGCAAGTCAAAAATTTAGAGTAAATTTATAAAATATTAGAGACAAATTTTTTAACTTTTCATGCTCGGTTCATTTTGGTCAAGGTTCCATGCAAAATGCCCTTGTTTAACACTAAAACGCCAGGGTCATTTATCAATTAACAGAGCACATCACTGCACTCGAAAAATGGCCTGTAATCATTTAAATGATCTTGCAGTAAAACTTGAAGCTGCCGGTATGATGAAAAATGCCAAAACAGTAGACGATAGTGTGTGGATGGGTGATATTGACACCACAAAAATCTATACAATATAATCTAATTATTTATTATAAATATACAAGTATACAACAAAATGCTATAATATAAATTTATTAGAGCCCAGATTCTTGCTTCTAGAGCGTCTATCTTAAAATCAACACCGATTTCAAGGACCACAAAAATTTTTGATGACGAGACACCACAATTTGTAAGTTGTGGTGTAATGGAACTTTAACAGGCATGCTATATGCAGGGATATGTGAACAGTGCTTAAAAATGCAGAAATAAAACAGTGAATGTGTAACCAGAGGATATTCTACAAATAAAATGAGGGAGGGGGGGGGTTTATCATCAAAAAGCACCGATAAAAGGTCTCAAAATGAAAGTTTAACCTACTGAATAGTGTCAAATAGCCGACTAGCTAACTAAATTTGTAAAAAAACCGACTATAACTTTGAAATCACCTTCTTAGGGGGAGGGAGTGTAGCACCTCCCCCCCCCCCACACACACACACACTCACACACAGCCGTAAAATCTCCTTTGTGTGTAACCACCCACCTATTTGTTTTATTTTTAGATAATGTTTGTATATGTCAAGTCATTTTCTCCTCGGTTGGAATAACAAGTCAGATGGTACCACAAGTAGCTGTAGAAAAAATCAGTTATTTACTTGTTACAACATCAGAAAATGGGATGACAGATTAATTGATTGACAGATTAATCAATCGAGAAGGGTTTATGACCTTATCTTGGCAATAAATCGGAGAAATGAGCATCAAAAGTTCTTATTTCTAATTCAAAAAGAGTTGGTGTAACACCTTTTTCCTTAAATATTAACTTAATGCAACAAGATAAATTTGATCGAGCCGCTGCATGCATTCAAGCTTTGTTTAAAATCACCTGAATTAGACATTTTATCTACTGTATGTAAAAAGAAAGGGTCAGCAAGTTACTGGTAAGTCAAGTTTGAACAGGCAAAATCAGTGATTAGAGATATGGCTGAACAAAGCCTCCAATTAGAAAAAATTCCTGATCTATTAACTATTAAAGAAGAAAAGCAACGAAAGCTATCAGCAAAAGAGGCAGCAAAAAAAAAAAAAGAGGAAGCTAAAGAAAAATTTATTAAATGTACTCCAAAAGGCTGTTTTCGCAATAAACCGACTTAGACAACATTAATAATGAAAATAATTAAGATTAATAATCCTTTTTTTAAATACAGAAATCAAATTACTTGTAGATGTTATGCTAACATTGTAGTATTAATCTGTTGATATTATGCTAACATTATAGTATTAACCTGTTGATGTAATGCTAACGTTTTTTGTTTTTTTGTTTGTAGTTATTTTAGGTGCTCCCAGAAGCCCTTTCGGTCTTATCATAGAGCACCGCGGAAGAGCATTTAAGAAGAAGTTCACGCCTCCTTCCGTACCAATGTCGCTTGTTGGGCTAAGGCTGGCGTCGAACCTTAAACCTCTTGGTTCTGAGCCAGAACTCTAACCACTACGCCACGGCTGCTAACATTGTAGTATTAACCTGTTCATGTTATGCTAACATTGTAGTATTAACCTATTGATGTTATGCTAACATTGTAGTATTAACCTGTTGATAAATCAACGTTATATTATGTAGTCTCAACTTTTTTAGACGTTCGGACAATTGTTGTTTTGTTCAAATATCGTTTTTAGATTGACATATGTTAATGTGTAAAAAAAATCAGTTTAAAATGCAATTTTGTGATTGTTTCTCACAATATGATTAATTAAATCAATTCAACCATAACGTACCACAAAAACCACAATACTTTCTTCTTTTTGATGATGCCTATATAAGGTTTACAATTACTTAACGGAAAAAAACTTTTTTCTACATTTAGTCATAATCCATCGGCGATAGAAAACAATATTTTGCTACCTCAATCTAAAATATATCCTCTAGGCTTCTTTAAAACCAAAAAACCTACTTTTTTTTGCTAGAATTTGCGTTTTTTTGTTAAAAATTGAGCTTTTTGCTGAGGAAAAACTACTAAACCTTAATTCATAAGCAGACATATTGACTTTATAATTCATATTATATCAAAGTTTTAATTGTAATTCATATTATATCAAAGTTTTAATCTCTCAAATTATTTACCAAATCCTAGGTTACTTAAATCAACATTGTGGTTTTTAAGGTACGGTTGTTTTTGCGGTACGTATACCTGTAAATTTTCCTTTCTGTTAATTCAAATAATTTGACATTCTTTACTTATCTATTTATTTATTTCAGGTTTTCATTCGGCTATTACTCCTTTACTTTATACTAGAATTATGTTGCTGTGTTTTTATTATTTTCAATAATAAAAATTTACTACTACGACCACTACTATTATTTTTATTATGGTAATTACTTTTATTAATATCATTTATTATTATTATAATGTCAATGGTAAAAGTAATTAATTTCTCTTGTTACTTTTACTAATCATTATAAGAAAAAGTACTCTAATTATAACATTTATTGTTGATATTATATTATTACTATTACTATTTTCATCACTGTTTATACTAATTTGTTAGATATTCACTTGAACTATTATCAATTTTGAAATGTTGCATCTTATTTTGAAATATATTTGATTTGATTTGTTACGCTTTGTTTGTCAAAAAAAAGTGTTTTTTATTCAGCAAAACGCTCAAGTTTATTTTGCTTGTTTGCTTAACTTTAATCGGTACAATAAATATAAATGTATAGTTTCTTTTGAATCAAATTGAAAAAAAATCCATTGAAAAAAATAACGTAAAAATTAAAATAAAAATGCTAAAGATACAAGCAGAGTAATAGAACAATTACGTCATTGAAATAATTATTTTAATAGAATAAAAAAAAAATATTAAGCAACCGAATTTAACAAAATAATGACTTTCTGAATTACCTTTTTTCGTTATCATTTTTTTCTGAGGCGTTGTGATTTTCAACCGTTTCAAACGAGTTATTGTCATTGTCAACATGTTGATTTGTAATAATATTTTCATCAGTTATTTTGTTACTTTTATCCATCGTATTTTACTTTATAATATAGGTTTTTATGATCTAAATAAATCGATAGGTTGATTGCAATATTGCCTCTTGATGATAAATATCCTTTTAGTACGTACATAAATAATTTTTTAAGAAAAATATCACAAACTTTGCTTTAAAATAAATGTATTAATTAGCATGTTTTGCCTTATATAAGACATATGACCTTTAAAAAACTATATCAGCAACTTTAACTTTGAATCAAAATTACGTAATTATTGCACAATATTTTACTATTGGTTAACGAATCAATAATAAAATCAGCGTTATTTTTTTGATGATCTCGGTAAATGGTTATGATATGGTTAAAAGGTTGCATTAAAAATATTATATCAGCAAATTTCTCTTTTTAAAACCGAAGTAAAATAATAAAATGCGGCTATTGCATCATATTATTTTTTTGGTTCTCTTTGTTTAATAATACTTAAGTTGTGTTGATAAAGTTAAAGTAGTGATAAAGTTAAGATAAAGATAAAGTAGTGATAAAGTTAAGATAAAGATAAAGTAGTGATAAAGTTAAGATGAAGTTAACACAAAATTAATTAATATTTAATTAACAATTAATATTAAAGTAATATTAACCTTATGCAACATAGCTTTTCATAGTTTCTAATTTATTTACCATCTAATTTCAACTAGATTAGAGTAGAGTACAATTCAAATAGAATTTTACATTGATGTTAGTAGGCAAATTCATATTGTTATTAATCTATAGAGTACTACAGCTACTCAATAATGTAAATAATCGAGTAATTATAGAAAATATATAATAAAAAAAAAATCTAACTGAAAAACAAATAAAAAAATAGATAAAACTGCTTATTATGTATAATGTGTGAATGACAATATTTTTTGGTTTTATACATGCAGCGTATGAAACTAATGCTCAACGTCATGAATGGATTCATACCAGCAAAACAATCTTTAAGAAAGATTTTTTACGATTCGAAAAAATTAATTTAGTGGAGGAGTTAAAATATTGAAGAATTTGAAAATATTTACAGCTTTAGACATAAAAAAATAAACAGGAGCCTTCTATAAAATCTAATTTTACCGCTATCGATACCACAACTTTGACTAAAGCCCATAGGGACCTCAATCAGCAAAATCAGTGTTGCTGCTGGGTAATCATAAAGGTAAATGTATTCGGTATCCAACATTTTGAAATACAGGTATTTGTTTAATTTTACACGGAAATTCGTGCAGTGTAAAGCATTCATTAGATAGAATACCATAATAATCAATTTTGAGTGAGGAAGTATGAACTCGTGTGAATCTATTTTTTAAATAGATTTTGGTTAATGAGTTTCTACAATTCCATTTTCTTGTTAAAGCTTTTAAAATATATAATTTCTTGATATAAAAATTAATCGAAAGTTATTGAGAGCTTATTGTTGCATGAGAGATAAGTAATTCTATAAGTCGTTTTTTTTTAAGAAGCAATGAATTTTAACTTAAGTTTGTTTTAAATTGAGTTGTCTCTCCCAATCTTGCTCTTGTAAGAATGTCAACATACCTAATTTTTATAAAGTAAATCTACTTGAAATGATTACCTTGTTGCTGAAATAAGAACTCTAACCATCGTTTTAAAATAGGTTTAAAAATAATCAAAATCTGACGTATTTTGAAAAAAGCTATGGGTGTTACATTGGCATTAATTGTATCACTAATAACCAAGTAAAGGTAATGAAAAGAGTAATTTTTGTATGGCACAGGTACAGGAGTTATTAAAACTCTATATAGTCTTTTTTTGAAGACATTTTTTCCACTTATCATATTGAAGCTATTATAACCTTGGCCATGCATCTTCTCTAAATTTGAGCCATACAACCTCTAAAATTATTTGGGAGTGTGGCAAGCAAAGGTAAGAAGTTCGCAAAAGTCAGTATAAGGTTATTGACTTCCTCAAAAAAATTTTCCAATTACTAATTTTAGAATATCACCATCTTTAATTTTCTCCAATGGTCTTATTAGATAACATGTTTCATGTTGTAAAATACTTTTTCAGGTTTTCATTATCTATTGTTTGAAGAAGGATTCCAAGACCAGTTAGAAAAAGAGCAGACAAAATAATTGTGTTCGTTTCTTTATTTTTCTGATGCACATGTTTATTAGATACCAGCAATTTCTGGAAATTTATCACTTCAAGCTGGAGTAATTACCTTATAAAAAAATAGGAATTTTGGCGAAAAAAGTAACTTTTAAAGTTCAGTAGAAGCTATCTTATTTTAAAAATAAGCATTAAAATTCCAACTTAAAAGATTTCTTATAAATCGCCATTTTTATTGGATATATCGGGGTGTTCACTCTGCTAGATAAACTGAAAGAACTAGAAAGGACTGTTTTGAAAGGCAAACTAAAAAAACTAAAAAAAATATTTTTTGTGCATAATTGATTCAATAATTATAAAAAATACATTTTCCAGTTATTCAACTGTGTTTTTTAAAAACACTTTTATATATTTTTTAAAGTTTGTTTTGAGGTGACACCCTGTTTATTATGACATCCGGCCTTAAAGAAATGTAAACAAACTAAAAAGTAGAGTATCAAATTGTAGATTGAACCTTGCGAAAGCGTTTAACTGTTATTTTTAAGGAGTTATAAAATCTTTAATATATATTAACTATATTATCAAGCTTAATTTATTACAATAATAAAAAAAATGCCTCCTGTAAAAAGAACTAGACGGTGTAATTTATATGGTGGTAGCCCTTCTGATCTTCCTATTACAGATCTAGCAACTTATGGTGATGTAGCAAGATTTTTCTACAAATTAAAAGATTTAGATGGTATTAAAGACAAAAATATTATTATTCAAAGAACGCTTTGTAGTTTAAAAGAAATATGGTTCAATTGCAATTCCAAATTAGTTTTGTTACCTGAAATAAGTTTGATTGTTAAACTTTTAAGATTTTATAATAATGTTATTTCTTGGAATGGAAATAAAATTAAACCTTTGACCAAAAAATTGTTGGAAAAAAATAAAGAAAAACTTTTTGATCTGCTAGCATGTAACTGCAAGCTTGAAGTTCTTCCTTGTGATGACGGGAATATCAAATGCTCAGGTTGTTCAAATGTGCATCTTTACTGTAGTTGTATTGGTAGTAAAAAAGTAAGTTATACAAATTTAAAGTAATTTATTTTAAATTAAACTTTAAATAAATTATTTAATTTTATTGATAAACTTTTTTATATTTTATGATTATTTTTTATATTTTTAGATAATAATACGTTTTAAACAAATTAATTGAAGATAATATTTAAAACCAGAAATAATTATTTAGGTTCCTTTGGAAGAGCGCTCCTATATAAAAGACCAAAGGGAGAAAATTGGTACTAAAGAAAAGTTTCAAATAGGAGGTATTGATAACTCTGTTTTATCACCTACTTCAAGAAAAACAAAGCAAACAAAAGCTTCTGATGAAGAAATTTATATTAAAGAGTTTGACACAATCATGGATTCAGATCAGGTAATAAATTGTGACCTGTAAACTTTGATTGTATGATAAAAACTATATATATTCTTAAATTTCTTAATTCTTTTAAATATAATGCTCTAAAGTTAATTAGAGCATCTTAAATGTTAATACAATTAAATGTAACACTTTCATTGTTATGATTTTTAATTTCTAGAAGTTTTGTTGTATTTTTTTCTATAATTACAGAGTGAAACTTCAATTTCATCATTAAATCAGACTAGATCAAAGAACTATAACACTACCCACTATCCCAAATTTGCTTTAGAGGTAATTAGATATGGAATATCAGATGAAGCAGCTGCCGCTGTAGCTAATGCTCTACTTCAAGATATTGGTTATCTACATCTAAATGATGTAATTGATCCAAGTAAAATGAAAAGAGAGAAAGAACGAGTATGCTTTAATGCTAGTTTTGAGCAATCTAAAGTTTCAAATATAAAAGCAATTAGTTTGGATAGCAAACGTAATAAAAACTCATTGGTTTATGAACAGAGAGATATTGACGGTGAAATAAATCTTTGTAAATCTACTAGCACTGTAGACCACTTGACATTCACAATTGAATCAGGTAAAGCCCAATGTTATCTCTTTTGTCTCTGTATTTTTTTATTTTTTTTATTTTTTTTTTTACTAATAAAAATGTTTTAAATTGAATAAGGCGAGTTGCAAGGTCAATATCTAAAGCACATAGATGTACCTAAAGAAAAAGGTAAAGGAAAAGATCTTGCTGAATTTACCTGTAATGTTCTCAATGAGTTTAAGAGTGATAAAAGTATCCAGGCAATAATTTTGGACAATACAAGTGTTAATACAGGTATATTTTTTCTTCAAAAATGCCTGTCTGAAAAATAAAAAAAGATAACACATAAATCTTTATTTGAGTTATATATTTTCATATTACTATATCATTTTAGGTAAAGATAATGGTTTAGTTGCTTGTCTTGAAAGAATATTGAAAAGAAGAATTCATTTAATTAGCTGTCTTCTACATGTTAACGAGTTACCATTCTTTGTTCTTCTAATAGCTCAAATAATTATTTGGGTAATCTAAATAATAATATTATTTTACATTCTTGGTGATAATATTATTATTTAGATTACCCGATTATTATTTAGCAACATTATTAAAATTTATAGAAATTCTATTTTTTACTTAAGAGTTTTATTGCTGCTTTACTTTATTCTGATAAGCATAAATACAAATTATTATTTTTAGTAAAAAGTTATAACTATTAATATTAATATACTTGATCAAATAATAATAATAATAGTATTTTAAAGGACCAGTTGGAAAATCTTTGACAAATCCAATTCATTTAAATTTAACTTTTGACTTCATACAAGTTAAGACAGACATTGAATATCCCCTCTGTGTGTCATTAAAGACCTCTCTGCTGACCAGAGAATGCTACTGGAATATAGTATTGGAATTTCTAGAGGGTTTTCAGACAATAAGTATCTGAGAAAAAAAATAGGTGTGTTGTTTTGTAAATCATTTGTTCCTAATATTTTTCCTTTTATTTTGTTTGTTTGAAGTTTATGTAAATATATATTTATTAATATATAATTTACTATTAAATTATACTATTAATTAATTTTTATATATAAAAGATTATATTTTTAGGCCCTATTTGTCATGCAAGGTGACAACAGCAGTACGGATCTTGGCACTATACACAAGAACAATCAATCCCAGTAGAGAGCTCAAAATCTTTGTTGAATATATTCAAACAGTATATACTCCTATGTGGTTTAATATTAAAAAGTCTAAGAGTTTCACAGAGGGTCCTAAACTTATTTTCCAATTTATTCAGCGGATTTTGAGGTTGGATACTGAAGTTCAAAATATTACATTGCCCATAATTTATAGAAACTCTTTTTGTCTCCAACCTGAAAATTTTATTGCTGCTCTACTTTATTCTGAAGAACAGGTTTATAGAACAATTGCTGTTGTTAAGATTTTGGAAACAAGAAAAACTCTAATTAAGGATCCTAAAAATGGATTAAAAGATGGTATTAGGGTTAATGCCATTCCAATTATTGATTGTAGATGTAAAAACTGGTCAAAATTAATAAATCTGTATGATATAGACTGTTTTGAGCCCCCTTGTGTGGAAGATATATTAAATGAGGAGCTTTTGAATATGATACCGAATCAGGGAAAGGCTCCCAACTTTCCGTGCCACTCGCAAACGGTCGAAAGAGCAGTGAAAATGACTTCTGATGCTAGCGGAAAATTTATTAACCTAGAGAAAAAAAATGCTTATATTCTAGCTAAATGCCAAAGTCAAAAGAAACGAAAATATTTTAGAACATAGAAAGATTATACATTGTAATTTGTTATCATTTCTTTAAATTAATCTATTTGGTAATATGTTCGTTTATTATTATTATTATTAGTTTGGTTCAGCAGTAAAAGTATAATATATTTAGTAGTAGTCAAATGGGGCATAATAAAATCTTTTTTTTTTTGGGTGAGTGGGGGGGGGGGGGGAAGAGTCACCACCCGTAAAAATACTTCTTTTGCTTCTGTATATTAGAGTAAATCCTAATAAAAAGTGCTGCAACAACATAACATTGTTGTTTATGTTTAAATCCGTTTTTCAGTTAATGGCTAATGATTATTGAAAACCGCTTATTGTTTTAGTTATTTTTCCAATACCCTAAAAACAACCTTAAAAATTTAAGTTAAAATTATTTATACAACTTATCCTTATAAAGAATACATTTATAAAAGTTTTTGTGCGTTAACGTTTCAAATATTTATTGTGTGACATCTTTTTTTTTTTTACTTTTTAATGATAATATATGATAAATATAAGACCAAATAAGATAGAATCGGAAATACTTGAAGCTTTTATATTTTGCCCATAATGTTTTTATGGTCTAAAGAAGGTACTCCAGCTTGAAGTAATTGCAATTTCGAAAAAAAGTTAAAAATTACTGGTGTCTAATGTTTATATTTACTTAATACATTTTTTTTGTCATACTTGAATACTTTGTTATATTTATTTGCATAAGTATCATTATCTCTACGTTTTCTTTTTACACTAAGTGATTTAGAAATAAGAAAAGAGTCAATATTTTTTAAAAATTAGCTTCCGTGAATATCAGGATCTGGAGGTAGGATCAGGATCAGGATCTGGAGGTTGTATAAGAAAATGATCATTACTCATTTTGCTTTTGCAACCTCTTGTTTTTATTATTATTTAGCAGCCCCTAATAGATATAACCTTTTTATGTGAAGTTGTATACTGTGAATGAACTTTAAAAATGGCGACTAAGATTTTTCGGTAGATACATCTAGAGACCCATTTGTCGCTTGAGGCCCTTGCAACTGTCCACCCTATCTATAAGACTGTTACATCATGGCAAACAATATTTTTAAAAAACAAGTTTATTTGCACGCACGCGCTAATAGACTATCTTATTATAGATTTTTTGCACGTTAGAAAAAAAACTTTAAGATAAATTATTTAAAATGAAAATTAGCAAAAAAATAATATTTCATAATTTAAGTCATGTATTTTTAAAGTAATTTAATCTAATGTAATAATTAAAAAATTAAAATTACTAAAATATAATTAAATTTTCATTCGCAAAAAATTAGAAATAAATAAATAAATAACGGGACACGAGAAAAGATAAACTTTGATACACAATACATTCGTTAATACATTTTTTCATTAAGAGATTCCCTAAGCCAAAACCCTGGTTGATGCATTCGCACTCCACTGCGCTTATTACTAAATAGTCAATCGACAATTGTACACTTAATTGCGCTAGATTACATTTAAATTTAAAAATCAAAGATAAAAAAATAGTTTTTTCAGTTTTCATTAAATTGTAAGATTTTATCCTTTTTGTTAAATGTGCAAACAGACTATACTTGAAAATAGTCTTTTCGAATGTAAAAAAAATGAGCCAATAGACCCTCCGATTATTTAACTCAATTGTAAGCATATATTGCAATAAATATTGCAAATATTTGGTTTTAAATGATATGGTATGATGAATTTTTGTTATCGTTAAATAAAAAAGTTGATATCAATTCGTTTAATCTCAAGTTCAATTTTTTTTATTACTATCTTTCTAGCTAAATAAATTTTCAACTCTTTTTTTTTTAAGTAACCTAGCTTAAAAAATGTCAGAAAATTACGTTGTTAGTATTTTAAAGTCTTGATTACTCTTTTCCACTCAAACGTATTCTCCAAATACTTCTCATTGTTGTCTATTAGGTGACTAACAAGTGATCCAGTTAAATAGCTGTCCTCAAATTCCATGAGCATGAATCTTGTAAAGAAGTTGTTTTGTAACATTGTTTTAAATACTTTAGCAAAGTTGTTAAAAATTATGTCAACCAGGGGTCAATATTGTAAAACTTTTTAGCGGCGAAAAATGCTACAAACGGAAATTTTACTCTTGGAATTTTTACACTCTTCCCGTATAACAAAATTTGAATATTTGTTGAATAGGAAAAATTGCATAAATAAACTTTTTAAAAAAATGACTTTAAATATTAAATAATTAAAAGAATTACTCAAAAATTCGATATCTAAATTCTTAAAACACATTCATTTAGACATTTTTTATGCTTTCAGCTTAGAATTTTATCCACAATATGTTTTGACGTGCTTCCTTACCATAAACAATGAGAAACCTTGGAAACAAGTTGTACGTGATCTCACTTTCTAAATCAGAGGTAAAATCTTTGATGGATTTTATTGCTGGTTCATCTAACTTTATCAAAAATATTTAAGTTCATACCACATTCGAGAATCAAAGGCAATTTCTAGAACTTTATTAATTATGTTTATAGTTTGACTACTTTTTTTACTATTTCAAATCTCAAATAATCTCAGCATAAATTTTAAATGGAGAAATTTATTTTGCCTATCCATTTTGAGTTCATCTAAAACTAAAGTTGATCTGATTTTTGGATCAATAAATAGCCCTGATAAATCAAGCATAAGTGCATTTTTCCATCCAATATCGTTTCCATACGAAAATATAATATCAAATTCCATCCAATAGAACTTCCTCCTTTCTAACAAAGCTTGTTAAGCTTTGGAAATTTTAATTTCTAATGGTTTTTATTAGGCTCTAATGTCTAAAAGAAAATTTACAAAAAATAAAAGTTAATCTAAAAAGTTATATTTGTTTATTTAATTATATTCATGAAAACTTAATATATATATATACAGAATGGTGCAAAACTGAACCAGAATGCATAATATTTTTTTATTTTCTTATAAAGAATTTAGCATTATGAGAATTAATATTGCTGGTAGGAATTATTATTAAAAAAACAATTTTTATTAAGTATTTATTGAAGAAAAATATTTACTTACAAAATAATAAATGAAAAACATGGTGAATCACTTTTGCACCACGCGAAAAAAACTGTAAATTTTTGTCAATTTTGTCAATTTTTATATTTTGTTCATAATTCTTTAGCTTTTTTAACTGCTGCTAATCTTCTATTTATGCTCTTTACAAGATTTTTGCAAAGGTATAACGAAATGTTTTCCCACTGTTCTTGAACTCGTTCATATAACACATTAATGGATGATGGAGAGTCAGAATAGTTATTAACGAGCGTTTTTTTTAACTGTGACTACAAATTTTCTATTGGGTTCAAATTAGGACTTTGTGCTGATGATTCTAGCACTTGAAAGTCCTGCGAAGCTAACCAATTCTTAACCATTTTAGCAGTGTGCTTTAGGTCATTGTCCTGTTGAAAGATGACCTCATTTATTGGGTAAGGCATATTTTCAACAGTTTCCAATAATTTGTACTGTAAAATATCAAGATCTTTTTGGGTTAATAGTTCACCTCTCTTTTCCAGCTCCATTGGTGGCCATCAGTGGTATACTGATAAATTTTAGTTTCATCTGACCAAATAACTTTCTAACTAGTTTAATCTTGCTTTGATATTTTTTTAATAAGTAATAGTTTTTTCTTCTTTTCAATTGCTCGAAATTTACTTTTTATGAGATCTCGCTGCACTGTCCACCTGCTCACATTTTTTCCTATACCACTTTGCAAAAGTTTAGCTGCATGAGATGTCGATTTTGCTTCTCCAGTATTCAAATATTTGATTACTCTTCTGCTGTCTACCGCACTCAACTTTATTACACTTCTGCTGTCTCAACTTGATTACACTTCTGCTGTCTACCGCACTCAACTTCTTTGGTCAACCGCCAACATTTTTTTCAAGAATATGTCCACATTTTTTTCTAATTCGTAGCACAGTACTTTAACTAACTTTTAATTTATAAGCAATTTTACGAGTTGTATTTCTTTTTTTGATCATCTTTTTTATTAAATCACTCTCTGTCTTTGAATTTCCCATTATATTAAAAAAACTATCAAAAACAATAGATTTAAACAATAAAATTTATGAAAATGGAAAATTATTTTAGATATAAATATTCCAATTGATTTCCAAACAAAATTATTAAATTAATTTGAGAAAAATAATAAAGATATTGTCTTCATCAAGTATGGTGCAAAACTGAGTCAAAAGATGTTTATCACTAAATAAAAATACTTGTGCATTGGGGTAAAAGGAGGAGGCGTAAAAGTCGTAAAAATTAGCTCTTTACTACTGTAATAATCCCGACGGCGCTAATATATCGAAAACAAAATAAATCATAATCATTAATTTATATATATATATATATATATATATATATATATATATATATATATATATATATATATATATATATATATATATATATATATATATATATATATATATATATATATATATATATATATATATATATATTCGTTGATCTCTCCTCATTGTTTTTCACTAACTTTTAGAATTTTCAGTTATCAGATTAAATCAAATCAAATATATTCTAAATAAAGTTGTTACATCAAGGTTATTTACAAAAAACCTGTAAAATTCAATAATAATAAAATGATGATAATAATCATTATTATACTTTTATTATTATAAATATTATTATTCTTACTGTTATTAATGTTGTTTTAATTTTTTTATATATGTTACTGTTTTTGTTATACTAATGTTGTTATTATTGTTATTATGATTGTTGTTGTTATTTTTACTGTTATTGTTATTATTATTATAATGTTTACTTTTTATTACTATTACTTTTTCTCGCTGTTATATTAACTATTTTTTATTTACTTCTACTTTTTCTATTGTTTCGCAGTGGAAGCTAATAAAGTTCCACCACTTGTTGGAAATATCAGGCGTCATAGTCTTAAGAGAAGGAGGAAATATTTTATGTGAGTGCAAGAGAGTGCTAGATAATTTTAAATATTTGGACAGATGTCCAGTATTGAAGGATGGTATTTAAGTCAGGAATATTCTTCAGTGATTGAGTTAAAGTT